TTTATACAAAGTCAGCTTATTGCCCCCACAATCCGGGTCCTCATTTTACCTACCTCGAAAGAATGGAAGGCTGAGTCAACCTTGAGCCTGGTGAGATTTGAACTTGCAGTAATTGCAGGCAGCTGGTGCTACTTAACAGCACTTTAGTCTGCTGCGCCACCAAGGCTCTTCCTCAATAGATCACACTCATAGACAACTTTTACCATTAGAAACTTTCCTTGCGGTCAACAGGAATCTGCCTTTTGTCTTTGATTTGAGCTCCTAAAGTCTGGAATTATAGAGAACAAAGCTTCTTAGAGGAGAAGCGAAATGTCTTCAAAGAAAAACCAGAAAGTTTTCCAAGTTGACATTTGGAAAAGCGTCAGTTGCCAAGCACCTGAATTCTGATTATGTGACTGTGGAGATGCTGCAATGTTGTAAGTCTGAAAAATGGTCATATGTCAGTGACGTTGTAACTTCGAGGACTACCTGTACTAGAATTTATTTCTTCTGCAGTCAAAACAAGATCATCCATGAACAAGGAAGTGTCATGTCAGTATGTGCCCAGAAGACCTGCAGCATTATTTAAATATGTAAAAAGAACTTGGAAGGGAAAATATTCCAAAGTCTAATGAAAACTGAGCATGCTTAATAGTCTTAGTAGGCTTAATCAGTTTGGAGAGGGGATGAGAACCAATGGAGGAAAATGAATTTTATTTATTTATTTATTTTTTGCAAGATGGCTGGCCAGCACTTGAACATAGGCCTTCTAACAGAGCAGGAAATAAGAGTATGAATCCAGCAAATAAACACCTGCATTTATTGTAGATTCGATTTGTTTATAACGACTATCATTCCGATGTATAAAGCTTCTCCTTTTAAACTGGAAATGCAATGACTTCTAATTTAATTGCAATTAATTTTGATTTTTAAAATTGATTAAACACTTTCTTCAGCTAAGCCTACCCACCCACCCACATAAAACTTGAGTTTATGATACAGGCCAGCACATAGACTGAATATATCTTCAAGACCTTTGAGTTTTTTCACCAGTTATGTGCTTGCTAATACAGGTTAAGTTCCAATGGAATAGGCAGATCAATATGCCGCCTTTCAGTTTTGCGTGATAGTTTTCATGCACTGTAATATATAACGGGGTCAATGCCTGTTACAGGATCAGGGGCATCCGAAGCAGGACAGGTGGGAGGAAAAGATAATACATGGAGGATGATGTCATCCTCCATGTCATCATTATGAGCCTGGTGGTGCAGTGGACTAAACTGCTGCTGTTAAAGTAGTATTTAGCTGCCAGCTGCCTGCAATTACTGCGAGTTCAATTCTCACCAGGCTCAAGGTTGACTCAGCCTTCCATCCTTTCGAGGTCGGTAAAATGAGGACCCGGTTTGTGGGGGCAATAAGCTGACTTTGTATAAAATAGAACACCGCTTAGGGGAGGCCAAAAGCCCTACTAAGCAGGTATATACAAAAGTATGAAGGCTATTGCTTAAAAGCATTGTAAGCCGCCCTGAGTCTCCGGAGAAGGGCGGCATATAAATCAAACTAATAATAAATCACCCAAGTAGTGTGCAAAACACACTTGCATTCCATGCCAGGTTTGGGAGCTGCCCAGAGTTGGTTATGGGTGGCCTTATAAATGTAATAAATTAAATAAATAAATTAAACAAATAAATAAACAAACAAAATTATGCAAGTCATAATTACAGGTTTTGCATGGTATCATCCCAATCTATGATACATGCCACTGGGTGGGACTTTTGTGCAAAGCAAATGGTACTGCAGCACGTACAGTAGACCCTGACTTACAACCACAACCGAGCCCCAAATTTCTGTTGTTAGGCAAAACATTTGTTAAGTGAGTTTTACCCCATTTTACGACTTTGCTTGCCACAGTTGTTAGCAATAGCACTTAGACTTATATATTGCTTCACAGTGCTTCACAGCCCTCGCTAAGCGGTTTACAGAGTCAGCCTCTTGCCCCCCCCCCAATAATCTGGGTCCTCATTTTACCCACCTGGGAAGGATGGAAGGCTGAGTCACCCTTGAGCCTGGTGAGATTCGATCTGCCAAACTGCAGGCAGCTAGCAGTCAGCAGGAGTAGCCTGCAGTTCTGCATTCTAACTGCTGCGCCACCGCAGCTCTTAACTGTTAAGTGAAACACTGCAGCTGTTCAGTTAGTAACATAGTTGCTAAGTGAATCTGGTTTCCCCATTGACTCTGCTTGCCAGAAGATCACAAAAGGGGATCACATGATTCCAGGATGCTGTAACCATCATAAATACGAGTCAGTTGCCAAGTGTCTGAATTCTGATCAGGTGAAGTCTGGGGATACTGCAACAGTCGTAAGTGTGAAAAATGGTCCTAAATCACTTTTTTCAGGGCTGTTGTAACTTTGAATGGTCATTAAATGAACTGTTGTAGACTAGACTAGACTAGACTAGATTAGACTAGAGACGAATAGAATAGAATAGAATAGAATAGAATAGAATAGAATAGAATAGAATCAGAGTTGGAAGGAACCTTGGAGGTCTTCTAGTCCAACCCCCTGCTTGGGCAGGAAACCCTACACCACTTCAGACAAATGGTTAACCAACATCTTCTTAAAAACTACCAGTGTTGGAGCATTTACAACTTCTGCAGGCAAGTTGTTCCACTGATTAATTGTTCTAACTGTCAGGAAATTTCTCCTTTGTTCTAAGTTGCTTCTCTCCTTGATTAGTTTCCACCCACTGCTTCCTGTCCTGCCCTCAGGTGCTTTGGAGAATAGCTTGATTCCCTCTTCTTTGTGGCAGCTCCTGAGATATTGGAAGACTGCTATCATTTCTCTCCTAGTCCTTCTTTTCATTAAACTAGATTTAGCCAGTTCCTGCAACCGTTCATGATATGCTTTAGCCTTCAGTCCCCTAATCATCTTTGTTGCTCTTCTCTGCACTCTTTCTAGAGTCTCCATATCTTTTTAACATCATGGCGACAAAAACTGGATGCAGTATTCCAAGGGTGGCCTTACCAAGGCATTATAAAGTGGTATTAACACTTCATGTGATCTTGATTCTATCCCTCTGTTTAGGTAGCCTAGAATTGTGTTGGCTTTTTTGGCAACTACTGCACACTGCTGGCTCATATTTAAATGGTTGTCCACTAAGACTCCAAGATCCCTCTCACAATTACTACTATTGAGCAAGGTACCACATATACTGTACCTGTGCATTTGGTTTTTCTTGCCTAAATGTAGAACCTTACTTTTTCCACCATTGAATTTCATTTTGTTTGAAAGTGCCCAAGTAAATTGAATCTATCAAGATTCAAGTGAATCACAAGAACTAAGAGTTAGAGACAACAGAATGGGTCATCGAGCAAGACCTAACGGGTTCATCTAGCCCAAGTATTCTGATCTTGTTAAGTGGTGCCTTTAATTCAGGAGATATTTGTGGATCTTGCTCCATGAATCAAAAGTTTCCAAGTGCCAAGGACAAACACTTTTTGATAAGATACTGTTGAACTCTGATGAAAAACTAAAGAATAGAATAGAATAGAATAGAATAGAATAGAATAGAATAGAATAGAATAGAATAGAATAGAATAGAATAGAATAGAATAGAATAGAATAGAATAGAATTCTTTATTGGCCAAGTGTGATTGGACACACAAGAATTTGTCTTGATGCATACGCTCTCAGTGTACATTAAAAGAAAAGATACATTCGTCATGAATCATAAGGTACAACACTTAATGATAATCATAGGGTACAAATAAGCAATCAGGAAACAATATGCTTTTTGCTTTGCTTTTTTTTGCTTTTTTAATTTATATGCCGCCCTTTTCCGGAGACACAGGGTGGCTTACAATGCGTTAAGCAGTAGCCTTCATACTTTTGTATATTAATACAAAGTCAGCTTATTGCCCCCACAATCTGGGTCCTCATTTTACCTACCTTTGAAAGGATGGAAGGCTGAGTCAACCTTGAGCCTGGTGAGATTTGAACTTGCAGTAATTGCAAGCAGCAGATGTTAATAACAGTGCTTTAGTCCACTGTACTACAGGATCAATATCAATATAAATCGCAAGGATAGAAGAAACAAAGTTACAGTCATGCAGTCATAAGTGGAAGGAGACGGGTGGTGGGAATGATGAGAAGATTAATATTACTGCAGACTTAGTAAATAGTTTGATAGTGTTGAGGGAATTATTTGTTTAGCAGAGTGATGGCATTTGGGAAAAAACTGTTCTTGTGTCCTGTTGAGAAGGTATATAACTTCTTACTAAATTTAAAAATGGAGGATGAACAAATAAAAGACACAGTGGTATAATGGGGGGGAAAAAACCTTTGGCTATAACATAGAGCTAAAGAAATGGCAAAATTTATGGGAAAGGAACTACAGATTAACAATGGCAATTTCTTATAAAGAAAATTTATATAAAACGTTTTATAGATGGCATTTACCACCTGCTAGGTTAGCTAAAATGTTTAAAAATATGTCTAGCAAATGTTGGAAATGTAATAAAAAAAAAATGGGCACATTTTATCGTATGTGGTAGACCTGTGTTAAAGCAAAAAAAAATTGGGGCAAAAATACACAGATGACTTGAAAAGATAATAGAGAAACAAGTAGATTTTAAACCTGAACTGTTTTTATTGGGGATAATGTGAGGAAATATTTGATTTAAGAAGTATGTATTTAATATTAGATGTCTTAACAGCAGCAAGGATTATCTCTGCACAATATTGGAAAAATGAAGAAATACTGCAAGAGATAATTAAGAAGATACTAAAATGTACAGAAATGGATAGTCTTACACTGAAAATCAAACAGAAAGAAGACAGAGAATATTATCAAACATGGAACTTATTTTATCAGTGATTGGGGGAAAAAGGGTGGAGATTAAGAATGGAAATTGTATTGCTAATCAAATACCCAGACAACATGAAGTTTATTAAGCACTAAGAAATGTAATCAATAGAAAATCAATAAAATTTATATTTAAAAAAGTTTCCAAGTGCCTACCTCCAAGGATCATGCCAGCTTGACAGCACTTCCTCAAGCGACACGCAGGGCAGTTCTTTCGACGAATCTTATCCACTATGCAGTCATTCCGTCCTGCACATAGATAATTATGTTGACCTGCAAGAAAGAAAGAAAGAAAAATGCAGTGCAATGAAGTAATCTGAAGCACAGCTTTAAGAGATGCTCAGAACTGCAGTACCATCCACCCAAGAGGAACAACTCCCGAATCCCATCAATTTGAAGAGGAAACAAGCCCCATACGCACATACTTTGCTCTCCCACCAAATCAATGAGAGGCAAAGCAAGCTAAATGCAAACTTATTCAGGACACAACTTGTACCATAGAAAAGATGCCACAATGGTTGTAATATATAAAAGATTCAGATTAACCGAGTGGGAAGGGAATTTGTAGGTTATCTAGTCTACCACCCCCCCCAAGCAGGAGACCCTACACCATTTCAGTCCAGTCTCTTCTTGAAAGCTTCCAGTGATGAAGCTCCCACAACTTCTGAAGGCAACTTCTGTTCCATTGGTTGATTGTTCTCACTGTCAGAAAATTTCTCCTTATTTCCAGGTTGAATCTCTCTTTGATCAGCTTCCATCCATTATTCCTTGTCTGGCCTTCAGGTGCTTTGGAAAATAGCTTGACCCCTTCCTCTCTGTGGCAGCCCCTCAAATATTGCAACACCGCTGTCATGTCTCCCCTGGTCCTTCTGTTCACTAGACTAGCCATGCCCATTTCCTGCAACTGTTCATTATATGCTTTAGCTTCCAGTCGCTTAATCATCTTGGTTGCTCTTCTCTGCACTCACTCTTTCTAGAGTCTCAACATCTTTTTTTATAACGTGGTGACCAAAACTGGATGCAGTATTCTAGGTGTGGTCTTCTAACTAAGGATTTCTAGAGTGGTATTAACACCTCAGATAAAGGTAGAGGTTCCCCTGCAGGTTTTACTGTGCTAATCATTCCCAATTTTAGGGGGCTGGTGCTCATCTCCATATCTGTAAGCCATTGAGTCAGCACTGTCCAAAGACAAATCCGTGGTCATGTGGCCAGCATGACATCACACTGCAGCACAGAGCGTACGGTGAAATACGGAAGACTGTTACCTTCTGACTAAAGTGGTACCTATGTATCTACTTGCCTTTTTACATGCTTTTGAACTACTAGGTTGGCAAGAGCTGAGGCAAGTGATGGGAGCTCATTCCATCACATGGTGCTAGGACTCGAACTGTCAGAGCCTAGACGTCTCCTGCATATATTAAGCCAGTGAGCCACCGCATCCCCTTGGCTGTAATATATATATACAGAGAAGTAAATCCTGTTGAACCATCTCTACTGGCCTTTAGAAAAGCACTAAAAATGTGGTTCTTTCCTTGGGTATTAGGACCAATGTGGTTGCATCTGGATGGATGTACTATAAATTTGAAATCATACAGATGAAAGTGTAATAAAAAAAAATATTAGAATGCACTGAGATGGATAGATTAACACTCAGAATAAAGGAGAAGGAAGAAACAGAATATTTTTTGACATGGGATTCATTTTACCAATGGTTAGTTAACAGAAACAGAAGTCAGAACTCAAAAGTTTAAGAGAATGATTAACTATACATGGAAGGTTTATTAGTATGGATGCAAATACTATTATTATTAAGTGACTATTATCAATGCTATGAATAATATTGTGATTACTATTGTTATTTTTCAAAACTAACTGTACCCAGACAACACAGTTGTCGATACTGAGTTTTTATTTTTACTAAAGAAAAATGTAAAAATGTATAAATAAAATATATTTTAAAAAATATATTTGGCTGCTTATTAAATTTAGTGGTTGTTTTTAACACTGTTGTTTACTTGTGGGCTGACTTTATGCTGCCCCAAGTGACAATTGCTCCAATTGGGCAAAGAAAAGACAAATGGCAGCGGTTCCAGAGCGTGTTTGCTTCTGTATTGGCAGGCCAGGAGAACTGGACATTTGAGACTAGTTCTGCTGTTACACCATCAAAAAAGCCAGCATGAAATGAAAATGAAATGAAAATAGAAAAGGGAAAAGATAAGCAACTTATCAGTACAGTACAGTGGCTCAGTCTAAGTGCTCTCCCCTAATTCAGCCAAGCTTTCAGACAGAATAAGGACTCCAGCTCTAATCAGAACAGATGCAGAGACATCTTCACTATATGATAGATAGATAGATAGATAGATAGATAGATAGATAGATAGATAGATTGAGAGAGAGAGAGAGAGAGAGAGAGAGAGAGAGAGAGAGAGAGAGAGGTAGATAGATAGAATTCTTTATTGGCCAAGTGTGATTGGACACACAAGGAATTTGTCTTTGGTGCATATACTCTCAGTGTACATAAAAAGAGAAGATACATTTGTCAAGAATCATAAGGTACAACACTTAATGATAGTCATAGGGTACAAATAAGCAATTGAATCATACTAGGAAACAATATAAATTGTAAGGATACAGCAACAAGTTACAGTCATACAGTCATAAGTGGGAAGAGATGGGTGATAGGAACGATGAGAAGATTAATAGTAATAGTAAAGCAGACTTAGTGAATAGTTTGACAGTGTTGAGGGAATTATTTGTTTAGCAGAGTGATGGCGTTTGGGAAACAACTGTTCTTGTGTCTAGTTATTCTGGTGTGCAGTGCTCTATAGCAGTGGTCCCCAACCTTTTTATTGCCGCGGCCCGCTGAGCGCGCGCAGGGGTGGGGGCACGGCCCAGGAGCTTTTGCGCACGGCCCATTGCGCACGGCCCAGGAGCTTTTGCGCACGGCCCAGGAGCCTTTGCGCTGCAGCGTTCATGTCCCCCGGCCGCTGTGCGGCCCGGTGCCAGGTACTCCACGGCCCGGCACCGGTCCGTGGACCAGGGGTTGGGGACCATTGCTCTATAGCGTTGTTTTGAGGGTTGGAGTTGAAACAGTTTATGTCCAGGATGTGAGGGGTCTGTAAATATTTCCACAGCCTTCTTTTTGACTCGTGCAGTATACAGGTCCTCAATGGAAGGCAGGTTGGTAGCCATTGTTTTTTCTGCAGTTCTAATTATCCTCTGGAGTCTGTGTCTGTCTTGTTGGGTTGCAGAACCAAACCAGACAGTCATAGAGGTGCAGATGACAGACTCAATAATTCCTCCGTAGAATATTTACTGGAATATTATTCTGCACACCAGATTGTCATTAAGAGAAAAAGCAATAACACCCATTTTAAAATACAGCCTGAAATCAATGTAACTCAATTTCATTTTCATCCTTTTAGAACCTTTTGCAGGTGGACAAGATGAACAGCCTATAAAATGGCCTTCATCCAAAATGAATGGCCGTAATGACTTCAAGAACCGCAGAGCATATTTATTCTGGCACGATAACAAGTATTAAGATCATTTGTTATTTAATCTCCCTTTGACTATTCCTTCCTTCTCATCATTAATTAAATATATCTTGGAAATAACTTCTTTATCTACCGTGGTACTTCTCTGTTTTAGTGGGAAGTTTAATGCAAGAAATACTTGAATACTTGGAGGCTAAGTGCATGGCCACTTAGCAGTCACATTTTGCTGGGTTCTTTTTTTCTTCCTTGCTTTGGGTCGTATTAAATAGGAACAAACCAATCTGTTCCTGCTTAACATGACTCAACAGATGGAAGACCTAGCATCTTATGGACTTTAACAATGCGAGGGTCACCATGACATTACAAGTGAGTTATTATGATCAGTCAGTTGTTATTGGTGAACTGTTTGGTTGTAGACATGAACTACAAATATATATTTTATAACAGATGCTTTGCTCCAAAAAATATGCTCAAGCATAAATTTTGTACCTTTCAATACAGTGCCTTATTAGAGGCAGGAAAAGACAGTTTTCACCTTTGAGTTGTCAGTATTTTAAAGCCTTACTATGGAATTAGGAAACCTAGGTTCAAATTTCCATTTAAAATCCATTCAAACCTAGGTTCCAAATTTCCATTTAGTACTTTTCAACAGTGGGTTTGAGCATCAGAATAACAGAGTTGGAAGGGACCTTAGAGATCTTCTAGTCCAACCCCTTGCTCAAGCAGGAGACCAAGCCCTTCCTAATGCAACAATCATAATAACATTGATATTTCTAGACAGAATGTAACTGGTTGGAGGTGTAGACCACCAGTTTGGAAAAAAGACAGTAATAAGAAATACTATGATTAATGAGGCTCCTTCTCAAAGAAACCTGAGTCCTCTGTCCATTATAATGTTTCAAAAGCACCACCATTCAATTCTCCAAGGGCTGTTTATAGTCAACAACTGAAACCTCATATAGCATTGACTTTTGTCAGCCCATGAATTAAACTCAACCAGTTTCAACAGCCTATGATACACAAAGAAACAAATGGGTTAGTACTACCATTTAGCTAGGCTTGTTTATAAATTATCCTTCTCCAGCAGATTATTTACATCTATGTTCATTTGAAATTTTCTTAATCAAAACTGAAAGCAAGTGAAAAACATTCTGCATCTCATTTTCTTCACCCATCCAAAGCAAGCAACAGCCTATCCCACAATATGTTGTTTTTTATGTGTTGTGTACATGTCTTTGAGTCAATGTTGACTCCTGGAGACTGATAGTCCCTGCAGTTTTCTGGAATTTTCAGAAATTGTTTGTTATTGCCTTCTTCTTCCCAGACCTAAGAGTGAGTGACTCATCCAAGTGACTATTCCAAACCCAGCTGGTTTTGTGACAGGATTAGAAATGACAGTCTCCTGAATCTTAAGATGTTACTAGAGTCTGCCAATTCAGACTGCAAATGGGGTATCAAATGTTTCCCCTCAGAGGAGTGTATTTGGACTATGACAACATTACTGCCATTTTGACACACACACCCATGGACACCACTGGTTTCCCTGCATTGTGAGATGTGAGATAATAGATAGATATAAGTAGATAGATGATAGATGATAAGAGATAGATAGATATATAGACAGATGATAGATAGATGATAGATAGATAGATAGATAGATAGATAGATAGATAGATAGATAGATGATAGATAGATAGATGATAGATACATACAGATAGAGAGATAGAGATAGATATAGAGAAAATGATAGATAGATGATAGATATAGATGATATAT